GAACTCAAATGTCCATTAACTAATAAACAAATGAGATCTATCCATATCATAGAATATTAGCCATAAAAAGGAATGTAGTATTGATCTATTTAGATGGACCATGAAAACATTAGGCTTAGAGAAAGAAGTCAGACACAAAGGCCACATACCACTTCTCTGGTATGTAGTTCCTAATCCACAAGGGAGGATGGGGAGGGGAAAAATAGAAGTCCACTGGATTAGATAAAGGGGAATGAAAAAAAGGAAAAGAGGAAGGGAATAGGAAGGATAGCAGAATGAATCAGGCATAACTTTCCTATTCTTGTATTTGAATACATGACCAGGGTAACTCTGCATCATGTACAACCATAAGAGTTAGATTCTAATTAGAATAAGTTATACTCCATGTATGTATAATATGCCAAAATACATTCTACTGTCATGCATATCTTAAAAGAACAAATAAAAGAAAAAAAGCCACATACTAGATAATCCCATTTACATGAAATCCAGAATAGCTAAATCTAGATAGGAAGCATTTTAGAGGAGGCTGGGATGTGGCTCAGTGGTAGAGTGCTTGTCCAGAAAGCAGATTAGTGGTTTCCAGAGGCTTCAGGAAAGGAGAATAACTGCCTCATGGGTACAAGGCCTCCTCCTGGGGTGGATGAGAGACTTGTAACTGGACAGAAGTGATGGTTGCCCAACACTATGAATATACCAAATGCCACTGAACTGTGTACTTTAAAATGTTTAATGATGATTCTGTGTTAGGTGTATTTTACCTCAATAAAAAAAATGAAAGGCAAAAAAATACAAGCCCCAGTTTTTTATTAGGCTCACTGGATATAAACTTGCTTCATCAAACTGCTATGAAATTTCCATTTGTTTTCAATTCCTTTACTCATCTCTTCTCTTGGATGATTAACAAAGCACCAGCAAGACCCACCACCACCCTGTGTCCCATCCTGTCTTGCCTACTCAGGGACACTGCTAGAGCAATTGTGTCCCCACACATCAGCTGTATCAGCAAGTTTTCCCCTCAACTGCATCACTCTTATCAACAAACACACACACACACACACACACACACACACACACACACACACACACCTATCAATCTCCTCTCCCCTCTAGTGACTGCCCATCTCACCACTTCCCTTTTGGGGAAACTCCCTGAAGAGCTGTCTGTACTCACTGCCCCTGTTCTTCTGTCCCACGCACTACTAATATACAATCAGGCTTTGGTCCCCACCTCCCCACAAAAGCAACCACTTAATGAGGTCATCCATCATTTCCACCTGGCAACAGCCAATGGTCAATTCCAGTGCTCGTCTCTCTTGACCTGTCAGTCTGTTTGGCTCTGCTCATTGAAACACTGTCTTCACCTGGCTTGCAGACACCACTCCCCTGCAGTTTCTTGCTTCCTCATTAGGTGCTCCTCAATGCCCTCTCCATTGCTGGTGTTCCCCATCCATCAGAACACTAAATGCAGGAGGGCTCCAGATTCAGCCTTGGTTCTTTACTTTCCATTTACATCTATTTCTCTAGGTGATGGATCACACTAACATCAATGCATCATCAAATTCTCAAAATTTTCATTTCTAGCAGGATATTCCTCTCAATATCCAGCTCCCACCTAACAATCTACCTGGGTGCCTCATGGATATTCCAAATTTAACATATGCAAATTAATCTCCTAGGATCTAGGAACATAGTCCAGTAGCAGAGTGTTTGTTTAGCATGTGTAAGGCCCTGGGTTCAATTTACAACACTGCAGAAAAAAAAATCTTCTAATTCCCACCAACCTCTTTTTTCCCATGGTCTTTTACCTCAAAAAAATGGAGACTTCAATCTTCTACTTGATCAGGTCAAAAACATGAAGTCATCCTCCACTTCCTTTCCTTCTGTTGTATCCCAATCCCATCTGCAAATTTTGTCAGTTCTGTCTTCTGAACATATCCAGAATTCAACCACTTGTCATCACCACCTTGCTCCCACACTAAGCCAAGATCATCTTTTGCTAGAGTGACTGCAATAGCCTTCTAACTGGTCTCCCTGTTTCTACCTTTGCATCCCTATGGTCCACTCTTAAACAGTAGTCAGGGCCATCTCTAAAAACCACAAGCAGGACATGTCAACATCTGCTAAAAATCCTATAATTGCTTCTCATCTCACTTAGTTTCAGTGGCTTCTACAGGACCCAGCCCACATCTCTCTGATCCAACCATTGACACTTTCCAGGATATGGAAAAGAGAGGGAATGGTGCAAATTTTGTTTATTTAAAAAAAATGTGAAGAGGGAAAAGGAAAACTTCTCCTGTGAATCTTTCCCCCTTAACGTTCTATTTTCATGTTACCAATTTCACCAAAATCACAGGAAAACACTGTAGTCAGATTCATTTATTCAGATGCTGAAGAGAAGCTAAGCTTACGTTTACCTTTAAAAAAACTGAAGAAACATGGATTTAAGAGACACATTTATACTCAAATAGGATTTTAAAGAAAACATTATCTATTTAAAAAATGTTCTTCAAATCATTTAGAAGTTCCCCTTAAAATAATTGATTTACTTCTTTGAAATTATAACCTATTTGTTAAAGCAAGCAACCAAAGGAACTTGGACTGCTAAAAGGCACTGGTAAATCAGCCAGCCTTCCTGAATTTCTCATGAGTAAGTATAATGATGTCCCTCATCCCACCCCACCCCTCCCCACCTCAGCCCCACTTAACAAAGGGCCTAACTTGCCCCAAAGTTCTCCCCACTCTGTCAATGCTGAAGATGAAATAGAATCCCATGTCCCTAAAGATGGTCTACTGGGCATTCTTGTCCCCAAACACAATTTTCCCTTTCCATTCCCATCTGCTCTGTTCAAATGCCATGCACTAAACCCGAAGACAGCACATCTTTAGAAGTTATAAAGCCACATTTCTTTCAAAAATTAGCTGGGACTTGATGTCCTATTAATTCATATTCTCTTTATCCATAGTAATTCCAAAGTAAATATTTACTGAGATTTCACTGTAGCTCTTCCTGGCTAACCCACTCATTCCCATAGCTCGAGCTCCAGATGAACTGCAATGGAGTCAGAGGGTCCCAAGCAGTCAAACCTGGGGCCTTCTCACACCCATGTGTTCAATTCTATACGTCCCTGGAAAAGCTGTAAGAAATTCCAGTAGTTTTCCCCTCTGAGCACTGCTATGCTGGCCTCACTTTCCTGGACTGTAACCTCTTTCCTCCTGGTCACTTCTTTTTCTGCCATAAATTCCCATGCCTACTGCTCTTCTCCAAGTTCCTTCTTCTCTGCTCTAATAAATTGCCTCTTATATTTTTGTCTTACTGCCCTGCTCTGAATTTACACCTTTGTCTCCAGAATGCCAGTGCTTCTAAATATACTCCATTATTCCTGGAGTAAGAAGCTCAAGCAATTTCTTCCTACAAGTGGGTTTCAGTTTTAATTTTCTATCTGAACAAACGTTTCTTTAACTGCTTCAAACCCAAACTGCTCACTGGCTCCATCTGACAAGCAATGCAGGAGGCTTCTGAACTTTTTATGTCTGGGTTCCTTACAGAGAAAGCTCACTCAAAAATGTGTCAGTCACTCATCCATTTGCTCAACCAATAAGCAGCAAACAAGTCATCATAGCAAGTAAAAAGGCATATGAGATGAGTCCTCTGTCTTCAAGTAGCTTATGATCCAGATTTTATACAGAATCCAAGGCAGCATGCAAGAAGGACCATAGGGCATAGAGCACACAAAATGAATGTTTATGAAGTAGAGGTATGCTTGCCCACTCCCAAAAGAATGATTATTAATAAAAATGAAACTGCAATCAGCAATGTATACTTCAGTCTCTACAGCTCAAATTAGCTCCCCTGACTTATGTATTCTATATTAATAGAAGCCACCATTTTAAAAATATTTTATTTATTATTTAACATCTTTAGCTTGACATAACTTTCAATATTTATACATAAGGTAGGCAGATGGGCATGGAAGCCAATATTTTATTTTAATATAGCAAACAAAGCATAACTTGCCCAGCTTTTTAAGATTTTAGTGTTCTGATTTTTAAAATCAAGGCATGTTTCTGATTCTCAAAACGTCTGCTCTGCAAACAAATATGATCTCCATAGTCAAGTTATTTGGAAACCAAACTTCTCCTTTTATTTATTATAGAGTAAGCGTTGACAAATCAGTGTCTCTTCCAATCACTCACTAAGGCCTCGATTTCCACTTACTGCCTCGACTGTGTTTGCTTCTCAATTTTCTAAATCAAAAGATGATGCATAAATATAAAGGACTTAAAAACAGCATCTGGAAACAGCAGCCATAAAAGACCTGCCTATCATCACAGCATAAATGTTGGGGAGAAGGTTAAAAGTGAAGTTGAGGAATTGTGTACTTCAAAGTGCTTTGGTTCATTAAACAGTCATTTTTTATTTTAAAGCCATTATATCAGAGTTATTTGCATTGCTACTGCATAAACTCTGAGATTGACTGTATTAAAAAATGTTTTATTATGTTATTTTATTTTCCCCCCAAAAGATGAATACACCTTCACATTTTAAAATGAAAATCTTTGGGAAACAAGTATTCAGTATTCAGAAATTCACTTCAAGAAAAAATCCTGAGACTTGAACCACATTTAAAGTATCCCTGTGTACCCTCAGTGGTAGAGCACTTGCCTAGAAGGGACAAGGCCCCGAGTCTGATTCCCAGCACAGCCACCACCAACAGGAGTGACCCTGTTGCACGCTGAACCTGTAGAAAATACATTTTTAGCTTTTGAATAGAAGTTTCACATCTTACTGTTGTACTCAGAAAAAATTATCATATTAAAAAATCAAGCAAAGCAAAAATCAATCCATTGCTAAATACTTTAAAGGATAGTTATCTCGGCTTCACACACAAGGAACTTCCCAACAGTTCCTAACAGATATCAGCCATCAGAGAGGTTAGGACCCCCCATGTTGGCTGCACATCCCCACCCCCAAAGCCAGCCTGAGAGCAGACACCTACCACTCGATTTGGCTTCCGAGTAGGAAGGGCCATCCTCAAAGGTGAAGATTTGGGACACACTCTGGCCCAGGTAGGAGGGAGGCCCATAGTAAGAATGCATCCTGTACTGGGAACTCACTGCATGGCGATTCTCCGAGTTTTTCATCTGCTTAAGAAAAAAGAAAGAACACAATAAGACCAAAGTTGCATTTTACAATTATTAAAAAAAAAAAAGAGGGGAGGAGAGTGGGTATGGGGGCAGGAAAGATCGTGGAACTAGACGGACATCATTACCCTGGTGTGCCTATGACTATACATATGGTGCAACACTACATCTTATACAGCTAGAGAAATGAAAAGTTGTGCTGCAGTTGTGTACAATGAATCAAAATGCATTCTGCTGTTATATATACCTAATTAGGATAAATGAATAAATAAATATTTTTTAAAAACTAGAACTATGTACCCTCAAGGTGACTTTCCTATCTTTGGGTCCCCTCAAAAAGCACCCCAAAAATTCCATGTGGGTTATATGATGCTCAGTTAACAAGTACTAAAGAAAACAGGGTGGTAGAGAGGGGAGAGCCATGCTCAGGAGCCAACACACCTACTGGAAGGCTACTGAGCTGCTTTGACCTTCTTCATGTTTCCTTCTGGGTAAAAATGGCACCTGGCCTTGGTTACCTTATACTATTCATATAAGGACGCCTTTCGAAGACTGTAAACAACAACATGGAAACCAAGCACAGGGGTAAGCTGTCCCCAGTGGGATGCCATGCTGGGTCCTGTCAGTCAGCGTCCACGCCCACCTCCTTCTATGCTGTTCCCTGTAGCAAAGGAGAGAGGTAAGGGATCTGGATTCAGAAGGGATCTGGATTTTGCTAGTGACCACATAAGAGTGGGGATGGGAAGGCAGCAGGGAAGCACAAGCTACCCATCCAGGAGCGCTGGCAGCTGACACACAGGCCTGGCAGTCACACATTTTTCTGGAAACCAGATCCTGTCTTTGGGACTCTGGGTACCTTTTATGTAAAGAGCAGTTCTCCATTGCTTCCTGATCTCTTCCTTCAAATCTCAGGAGATGTGACTTAACTTCAGTTTTTCCAGTCCTTCTGATGACTGGAAAAATCCTTCTGATGATAGACAGGGCCCCAACTTCAGTTTTTCCAGTGCTTCTGATGATTGCAGAGGGGGCACTTATGCCAACATCTAGAATTGTTTCCTGCATGGAAGCTGGTACAGCTACTAGGCATTCAACTCATGATCATATCTTCATGACAAGAGCAGAGCTGGATGATTTATATTGCCTTTAAAAATTAAATTTGGATGGTACTGCATTTACTTATTTATTTGCTGGGGATCAACCCCTGGACCTTGTGTATCCTAAGCAAGCACTCTACCACTGGTGTACACTCCTAGCCTGTAGATGACAGCCACTTTTAAATAACAGTCTTTCTAAGGAAATGTCTAAGGATAAACTAATCATGATCATAATTAAGAACTAATTTCAAAAATGGTGTTTTTAAGTCAACTGTATGCTAACTTAACATACCTGGCAGGTAAAATTAGTTTCTGGGCTTCCTGGAGATTTTCTATGAATATCTAAATTCTGATAATTTCTCATGAGAGTCACCGTGGTGTGAGTGCATTTTGAATACTATGGAATGTTTGGTGGAAAGTTCCCGATTTCTGTATGATACTTTGAGATGCTTGAAGGATTCATGTTTGATTTTCCAAGTTCAAATGCATGCTCTGAGGGGTGGATTCCCACCCCTTGGAGAAGCAGAAATGACTTCATTACAGGTGTTTATTTCCTTTCAAGTGAAGTTTCAATGAGCAAACTACTCTTATTCTTTTTGCTTCTCAAAATATATACAGTGGCATCTTTTCTAGGCCAATCATTCCATTTCCATTTTCTTCTGTCATATAAATCTTCACCAAATAGGAGGTCAAAGCAAGCTGTACTTGGAAAATAGCCCAAGGCCAAGAACTGCCTGCCACCCTAACGAGAGTGCCCAGGTCAGGAGGGCCCATTAGGGAGCCATGAAATCATTCAAGAGGGAGGACAATCAATGGTAGCAGTTTACTACACAAACAAACTAGGTTCCCAATTAGACCAGTGCTCCCCAGCACTCCCTGAACCAGCATGGGGATCTGTTAAGTGCAGAGTCAGTGTGCTAGGTCTGGGTAGGGCCTGATTGCCTCACAAGCAATCCCAGAGAAGCGGATTCACTCTGATGACTAAGAGCTTGAAAAATGATACTTTCTCTCTTACTTAGGAGCCCAGAACCAATGTTCTAAAAAATTCTTTAGCAAACTGCTTATAACCACCAAGTTTCCAATGGAAGTGGGATAGGGTGAAAATCATGGCAAGTGGCATTCTTTTGCTTTTATTATTTTTCTTTTACCTGTAAAAGTTCCCAAAGCATCAACAATTTTTTTCAGGGCTCTTGCATCTTCCTGAAGTGTTGCAATGGTAATAAGAAACTCAAGCACATCTTAAAGAACTATTTCTGTCTCCAGACTTCCATCAGGTCAGTTATGCAGTCTGAGCAGTGAGCACCAAGTTAGCAACAAGGGACTAACAAAAGAGTACAGAACACCCTGGTATGAATATCAGGGCGTCCCCACTCTGGGTGGGGAGCTAGTCTCATCTGAGTGCATGTCAGTCATTCAAGGAAAATAAGTTTCAGGTTTTTTATGTGTGTGTGTGTGTGTGTGTGTGTGGCAGGGGGGTGTCGTTTTAGGTACTGGGAATGAAACTCAGAGGCACTCTATCACTGAGCTACACACCCATCCCTTTTGATTTTGAGACAGAGTCTTGCTGAATTGCCCAGGTTGACCTCAAATTTGTGTCTCTCCTGCCTCAGCCTCTAGAGTCACGAGGATTACAGTTATGTGCCAGGACAGGCCAGCTGCTTTTCAGTTTTCCCTCTGTACAAGGAAAGGTCTCAAGCCTGCAAGGCCCTGCAAAATGCTCTATATTTTCCTTTTACTATGAAAGTTTCTACTAATCTGTTTAAAATGTTTGAAAAATGTTCACTGTAAACCCAAATCAGGGGTCAGCAAACTTTTTGCTGTAAATGATCAAATAGTAAATATTTTAGGCTTTGCAAGTCCCCTGTAGGCAACTGGCAAATCAATTGGCTGTGTTCCAATAAAACTTCAGAAATACGTGCACTAATTCTTAATCTTGAGTCTCACTACAAAAAGGGCTCTCCTTCACCCTGTACTGAGAGTCTGGGTTCTAACCCTAGAAAATCTGATTTAATTGGTCTGGGGTGTGGCCTGGACCCTGGATCTTTCCAATGCTTCCCAAGTAATTAATTCTAAAATGTCATGAAGATTGAAAAGCAATACTCTAAAATTATCAACATATCTCTAAACATCTGAGAAGTATGAAATCACAATATTCCTTGTATTACTTTAAAAATGCAAAAGGTCAAGTGTGACAGTGCCAATCCCACTGTGTATATTATCTGAGAAGAAAGATAAATGATAAGAGTTCTTTTTTAAAAAGTAACTTGCTGGAAAATAAAAAAAACAACTTCAAATGTATGCATATGCTAATACCCCCATAATTCCCTTTCTATATTTTTAGAAAGCATCAAATTACAAGAATTATTTGAAACTAAGAATTGAGTTCTTCATATTCATTCAATTTCCCCAACAAATCCAAAAGATCACTGAGCTACAGAAAACTTCCAGCAAAAGAAGAAAAGATACAAAGGGTCAGACTCCATTTAATGTCATAAAAATGTGAACTTACTGAGGTTATGAATCATTCAGCTCCATCCAACACAAAGAATAATCCACAAACAACACCCACATGACTACCCACACATAAAGAAGCATGGCCCTGTATGTTTCTAAGTGCATGTGTATATCTCCGAAACATAAAGTTATACCTGAACTGCAATTCACCCAGAAAGCTCAGGAAAAGGTACAGTATAATACTATCTAAAACTTTAAATTGCTATCTGCTCCCTTCTAACTGAAAAAAAAAATCACAATTCTGCTACTTTTGGTTTAGACAAAATGGGTAAATAATGAAGACTTTGAAACCTGTTTTACCTTAAACCCATAATTCTCCATGGGGGGCAACCTGGTCCCTGGGGAACTTCTGACTGTATGGAGACATTTTCTCGCTCCCCTGCCCCATGTTTCCTATTGGTGCACTACAATTGTACATAATGGTTGGATTTCATATTTGTACTGCACACAACATCAACAATATAATTTGGATTGTCACAGCTAGGGGGAGGGGAGTGCTCCTGGTATCTCGTGGCAAAGGCCAGGTGACATCTTCCCACAATGTGCAGGACAGTCCCCCACACGACAAAGTATCCAGCCCAACATCTTGGTAGTGCCAAGGTTGAGAAACCCAGCTTTAAACTAACCTGATAACCTTGGCTCAGCCCCTCACCACCAGTGAAAAGAAAAGAGCAAAGAACTACTGAGGGACAGAAGCTGTAAACAAATTAGAACTGTTCAGTTCTGCTCAAGGGGCATGCTATTTTTTCCTTTTTGCAATGTTACCTTGTTTCTTTAGATTTTTAATTCCTTTAAATTAAACAAATAAACCAAGTAAAACCTAAAAATCCAGGACTCTGGTGAATTATGGCTACTATTATTATCAGCACGTAGTAGCTGGCAAGCAAGAGGCATGTTTTATAATCTTATTACCCTCCCCAGTCTCTGAGCCTGAACAGGACCCACAGACAGGACTAACAGCAGAGAACGCACATGCTGTTAGTCTTAACCCCAAAGGAAGGTAAGAGTTTAATGGTTTGTTTTTATCAAATTGCTGAGAAAAATACATCACAATAAATCTGAACCATAGATTCTCTTTATACATCATAACTGCCCTCTTTTATAGTAACGATAATATAAACAAAGCATAGAAATGTTTGACCTCATTTCTTTTCTCAAAAGTTCCTGAATACTATTTACTGAGTCTACTTTGCTTCAGATAGGAAGAATGTCTAGTTCTATACTGAACTGAACACTCCTTCTAGGTGAATGGCTAAAAGGCATTCACGAAGACAGAATAATCTTGCTGGAGTTTGGGTAGGGGACGGTGTTCCTGAGAAGAGTTCTGTAGGATGACAGTTCTAATTGCAGAATCCTCTGGCACTGACATGGGCTCATGGTCTTTTAAATCAT